AGCCCAAGGTACAAAGACGACCAACTCCTAAGGATCAAAGTAGTAGCCCAAGGTACCAATAACTACCAACTTCTAAGGATCAAAGTAGTATCCCAAGGTACAAAGACTTACAAACTCCCAAGGATCAAAGTAGTAGCCCAAGGTACAAAGACGACCAACTCCTAAGGATCAAAGTAGTAGCCCAAGGTACAATAACTACCAACTTCTAAGGATCAAAGTAGTATCCCAAGGTACAAAGACTACAAACTCCCAAGGATCAAAGTAGTAGCCCAAGGTACAAAGACGACCAACTCCTAAGGATCAAAGTAGTATCCCAAGGTACAAAGACTACAAACTCCTAAGGATCAAAGGAGTATCCCAATGCATACAGACTACCAACTTCTAAGGATCAAAGTAGTATCCCAATGCACACAGACTACCAACCCAAAGGATAAAAGTTGTATCCCAATGCACACAGACTACCAACAGTCAACTTATGTATCACTAAGAAGTACTCCTAAAGCAGGTGGAGTTACTGATATCACAAGTCAATTCATGTATCACTAAGAAGTACTCCTAAGATTTCTTAACAAAAATTGAAAACATGAAAAGTACCTATTACTAACCGCATCCACAATTCAACAAGACCGTGACTGACTTCATTGTTTCAACCAGCTGGTACATTGTTCCTAATCCTATTCATTTGTTTCAACAACGTGCCTAAAATATTCACATCTATTTATTTAAGATGTCAGACACGCAGTACAACTGCTTTTGTTCTGGCGGCAACCTCTGTCAATACTTCCTCTGAATACGTCCGGGTTTCGTAAGTTATCGACAATGAGCTGTTATCACTGTAAACATGTTAAATTTTTCTTCAACGCTCAGTTTATCTTTCGAAAACAACTAATTTCTTGATTTAAAAAAAATTCATGTTCTTTTCCTATGGAAATCAAAGCCAAAAGATCACACTACATTATCGATAAATCTCTTATGTGTTGTGTTTGCTGAACTGTCATTAACATATTTAAATGAGATATGGTAATTTGATCATGTTGGCACCATCCATTATTTTGATTGGTTAGTTAACGAATTGACCTATCCGGTCAATAAACAGTCTCGGGTGCATTCAAAAAACATGGCAGATACCGTATCACATTGAGTGTTTACATGTGACCTAAATCATTTGTTTACAATGAATGTAAGTTCAATTTTACTTGCATTTTATAACAATTCAATGAATTTATTTTTTGTGCGTTATTATAATCACTACTGAGTAATAATAATAATCAACAATTTCACTTCGAAAACAAATAAGTTATTCACTTGTGAACCGTAGCATAGCCAGATTGCGCTACCGTAGCGTGATCATTTGCTACTAAGCAATGCATTCGTGTTTGTTTTTATTTGAAACTTTCTGTTAAATAAATGCATATTACATTGAATATACTGAGAAATTTTTTTATCATGTGAACATTTTTTTTGAATGACTGTAATTTTTCAACATTTCATGACACCTATTTCAGTAAGGCCTTTCACTCTTCCCCGACGCCTAAATTAGAGTGATGCCTACATTCAAGAGATTGTACAATGTACTGTTTGTCTATTTAGTGATTGCAATATGTACGTAATATAAACCTCACCCCGAACTTGAGCTTTTGACCCCAATTTTTAAATTGATACATTGTAATATAAGCCGCGGTTTATAATAGGACTTTTATGGTACTCCTAAAGCAGGTGGAGTTACTGATATCACAAGTAAACTTACGTATCACTAAGAAGTACTCCTAAAGCAGGTGGAGCAATTGATAGTTGGAAAGGTGTATTAAAATAATGTTGCTGTTCTTCCGAGCGATGAACCACTTTACCATGTCGGACTATAAGAAACCCTGAATCACCTAAATTAGCTGTATACACAACATGGTTCTGGTTGTCAAATATTAATATACAAGCAGTACTGCTCCCTGCGAATGAAACATAAATTAGTTCAATTATTTTTTATAAGAGGTTTCTTTTTTTCACACAGATTATGTTTCCTGTAATTATTAGCAATTGATTCACCTGCCCCACCCCAATGAATAATAGTCCATCCCTAATACATGAGAGAATTAAAAGCATTATTAGGATGAGATGTCCCCATTTATAGTTCTTTAAACCGCGGCTTCGGGTGTATAAAAGGAAAGATGGCCGCCAGTTTTCAGTATG